TTCGGCATTGCGGAACCTTGGATCATTACAAATCGACCATGAATGCCAATGTTAAGCCCGCATATTCCGTCGGTGTCGCACAATGGCCTAGCCAGTCAAATCGAAACTCGTCGATGAATGACGATGCAAGAGTGAAGATAGTACAGGTGCGAATATCAGCAGAGCATGAACAAGTCAAGTATTTAACACGCCGCGTTTTACCAATCAACACGATTTCAACACCGAGATATATTACCGTCATTATTACATACTACACTATATTACGTTATTTTACATTATTATTACGTGTCTACAAGAAAACTGAAGAAGAAACGGGAAAATTTATAATTAAAAATATTTTGTAGATTTGATACTTTACGATGTAATAAAAGTGCGATTCGCGAGCGCAGGCAATTTAAGACAGACAAATAATAACCGCCTTCGCGAGCTGTACTAAATTAAACAGAGTTATTCTTTATTGCCTCTTTGAAGCTAAACGAGCAATTTAGCATCGTGTGGAGGAGAGAAGAATCCGCAGTTATCTATGCGATATCGATTCCGATTCCAGTGCCGCGGCTGTTATTAGCATTTTATCGACAAAGCACTTGCCTGACGATAGAAACATCCGAGACGATCCGCTTCGCTCCGCGAAATTCCAAGCCGATCATGAATTTTATTACGGCTATCGAATCAAGGGACGCTCCATTTGCCGCGCGCGGGGATTTGGGGGTCTTTCTCCGGTCTCTCTATATATACTATAGGACTATAGAGGTACTGCGACGAGGGCAGACGCGCTTGTAGATCCCGACGCATGCTATGACTGTGGTCTACGAATTATGGAATTCCCTCGTTTCGCATCGAATTCACTCGTTTTCTCCCCCTTCACGAAACGCCATTGATCTCTCGTAGGAAACTCACCCTTCGTTCTTCGAGGGTGACAATAAACTTTCGTTCGTGCCCCTGTAGCATGCCACTGCATTTCGCACGACGGCCACCGCGATAGATACAATTGGCAACTTGATGTATCTACGGTAACTATTTTCAGGATGAGAGGTTTGTTATTCTTTTGTGTATTAATGTAATGATCGTAATTATATTAATTATTATATGTCCGTTCATATAACAAACATATTGAGTCATATATTATATATTGGACGCATTATATATTTTTACAAAATCTATTGACTACTAAGAATCAGATTTGTATTATATTATGACATCAATCGTTATTCTAATCAATTGAGATAAGTAAAGAAAATAATTGTCTATAAAATGAATTTGTTATTTACTTATTACACACACATTACACACACACACACACACACACACACTTATAATGTGCATTACAAAAATATGAATCTGTTAATACCTAGTTGTAGAGACAACAGCAAAAAAATACACGTGTTTTCTGTTTCTATTATATAAAAATTATGTTTTGTATGTATAGTGAGTGAACTTCAGTTTAAACATTACATAACATTATTATTATTATTAGAATCTTTTAATAGCCGTCGATAGTGATTTCACAAAATATTGAGAAAACAAATATCTTTTTACTTTACAAACATAAATATTTGATAAATATTACTAAAATTGTGTTTTTATTAATTGAGAGTGTCCAAACAAAAGAGAAAACCCTACCTCAGAAATGTAAAAATAAAAATGATTGTTATTTTTGACCACTCAAGATAAATTTATCAAAAAAGTCTAATAATTTGACCAGGAATTATATGCTTCTGAGAAACGAAATTTTATAAATCTTGCAATGCGTAGTCCATATTTAATATAATCAAAAATATTTATTTATAGAATTATAATGCGTATAAAAGCTGGAGAGAATTTTATTTCCGTGTTAGAAATATTTTATTAAAATAATTATATCATAATATCAAAATATTTAATCAAAATACAATTTTACAAAAAATTTGATATTATGAGAATTCCCTGCTTGGTATATATTGCGTATCGAGGATTACAAAAATCATGAATTAAGATGCGATTAGACAAACACTCCATATCAGGGCAAACGAGCAAAACGAGTATCTTTTTTTCCGTCGAGCGTCGCGATTGCTTGGGGAAAAAGTGCGAGGGGGCATAAATCTACACACGCACCCCGCGCGGCAGCATGCCTTATGTCTCATACCTTGGCGTGGCCAACGGTCCGTGAATTTTCACGAGGGCTTTGCGGCCATGCCGCAGCGTGCCAGATCGTCGAACAGCGTTTCGCACCCTTTGCTACAAAATCACAGCGCGTGCCGCGCATATCTCCCGGTCCACCCCTCGCTCATTATGCCCCCGAAGTAAATCACTTTTCCTTCCGCGAGAACGATATAAACTATCCCTCGAGTACCTACGTCAAACGGCACTTTCGTCTATTATGACGCACACTCTTCGCAACCCCGGAGTCAAACAGTGCTATATTTAATGAATCAGAACAATTCACTCTCGCATATTTCCTTACAAATGTAGAAAATATATTGCAATTATTAGTACAGAAATATTAATTGATAAACAAATAAGCAAGGAAGAAAACCATATTCAGTCAAAGCGGAGCTTGATGCCTAATAATATTTTTGCGTAAATTTAATAATTTCTCCCGTTCAAGCAAACTGTAAAAGTGCATTTTCACGAGCCGCTCAAATCCATTTCAGCGATAACTTTGTACATACATATGTAGGTACATACATACATACATGAAAAAGGGCAAGAAGAATTGAATTTGACAGTTGAGCGACAGATTTGATACGTTGCTCGTGTTTTTCCCGTGTTACTTGCAGTATTAACGCGTTTAATTAAGCATTTATAAGCAGTTATTAAGTTATTTCGTAATTATTCTAGTCGTTTTTATCTGAATCAGCAACAAAGAAAAAGAATAGATTTAATTATATGTATCGCGGTCAACATGGTCGACACGGCGCGGCAGCATTGGCAATAACGTTTGAGCATTTAACTTTCCAATAAACATAGATAATACGTTCAAGTCAGATATTTACAGGAGGTCTAAATGTAAGAGACGTTTGTCAGTTCCGATAATTTTAGCTGTGATGACTGGCTGGCTGATAGACGTCATATATTATATGTATTCGTTTTTTTAACGTTATTCTCCAACCGATTCAAATTGTATTTGATAAACGCAATATTATCGCAACTAAAATTATCTGAAACTGATTGATCTGGAACAGATGAATCTATTACATTTAGACCTCTCGTAAATACCTTATTTATACGTATAATGTACTATCATATTTTTTTTATTGAGACTTCCCTTGGTTGGATTCGAACCTGGAGATCATGAATCTTCTGCCTTACGTGCTACACCATTTCTTCAACTGATAGATGTGTTACTTATAGTTAAAACCGTTCAAACTACAAAAACGGCTGAAATAAGAGATCTGTCGTTTCAATTGCTTGTTTTAGTAGCGTATGAAATGGTATAGGTACCTTAAACTGATTATTTGTCAATTTGAAAACATGGTCCTGACCTAAACTGATTGATTTATGAAACAAAATATATTTTATGTGACTCTCAAGTAAAAGAAGGCTTTTGCGTAAAATTGGCATTATAAAATTTATTATTAAATTCTTCACGAACTATAGTTACGTGACATATGCTTTAGCAGTAGGAGTATTGTTGCGGAAATTCTCAGCGACGGTAACTGAAGGACGAAAATTGCACCTATTGCCCCTAAAACCCCGGTGAGACACCGCAAACGCATTTCCTGCGTAATCCTGGTTCCTGCCGCTCTCTCACATCGTCCTCGCGTGTCGGACAATTTTCGCCGAGGCTATTATTACACTTCTATTTGCAAGGCAGCTGTCGTTGTTTCTGCTACACGATGCAAAGAGTGTTCTCCTTTCCTTCATTTTTTATATTATATACGAATATACTTTCGGTATAATATTGCTTAAGCAATTTTATCTTAATTTTAATGTATTTTTCGAACCAACACCTTAACTATTTCAACACTATGACTATTTCAATTAGACCATTTTGTCAGATATACATCATTTGTGAGCGAATTAACAGAGAGCCGCGTACCTTCGCGTCATAACGAATGAGAGGTGAAGCGTACAAGCGATAACGACTGCGCGAATGAAGCGTAACGGCTCGTTCATCGCGGGGGTGGCAGCGAGTGGTGGTGCAAAGAACACCTAAACACGGTGGCCACATTGACCGTTGAGAGAAAATTAATTAGTCAACCGTCAAAACGGTCGCTGGTAGAAAAATGGAGAATTCGAATTCGAATCTGTATCCCGATTGTTTTCGAGAGTAGAGAGGGAGGGCGCGTCATTTACCACCTTCATCCGCAAACGGTGTCGATGAGAGAAAGAGAGAGAGAGGGGAGGGGAGGGAGGGGAGGGGAGAGGGAGAGAGAACGGCTAAAAGCAGTTTTATTCAGCGACCACCAATAGCGTGATACGGGAGGCTTGTCTATCCGTTCGAAGACGCACAAACCACGGAACGCGCCATCGTCCGTAGTGGGGGGTCCACCGGTAGCGTAGTGGGGTACGGCGATAGGATGTTGGCGATGTTGCTCGGAGAGAAGTGCTGGATCGGCGTTTTCGGCGAGGACGAGGTAGGTGGGGGTGTTTGACTCGGAGACGTGGGGGTGCTCTCTCTCCCTCTTGTCCTCGGCACAGTTCCCCATCCATGTGACGGACACCCAGCGGCGGCGGGCACCGTAGTGGAGGGGTGACTAGCTTGCCGGGTTAGCGTCGAGGTGGCGGCAGATACACGCGTCAAGAGGACCCTACGGGAAGGGTGGGGTACAAACATGTCCAGGTGGGGAACGGGCGACCGGTTATTCCAGGGTAGTGTCGAACATAAAGCCCAACATGCGCAGGCCTACGATTAGTTTGCGACCGGACGAGCGACTGTGCGCTTGCGTGACCCTCGGAGGACCTCTCCTCTCCTTCTCTATCGCCTCATTACGTCGTTCGTCTCTCCACCTTTTCGTTCCTCGTAGTACGCTCGCCCACCCGATGGCAAGCATGACTCTGAACCTCCGAGGGAGATTGAAATCTCTCATCCGGCCGCAACCATCATCTTACAAAACCCTCGCCGAGGATCGCAGATCTGACGAACGGTGAATCGTCTGTGAAGATGCTCAAGTACTGACTAAGAGAACATCCTCATAGACGATGAGGAAACTGAAAGGATCGTCCATCCTCGGCGGAACGCCTGATTCGAAACGGAGCAGAGAGACGAGGGAAGACAGAGGATGGTGTAGCAATCACAGTAAGTACGCAGCAACATTGGCACACATATAACATCCAGTTGTGAAAATCTTAAGCCAAAGACATCCAGATAATACAAATTAATATAGACATCGACATATCGTTGGAATGTTGCTCTTTGGTCATCAATCTTAATCTTGACCTCGTTCTCCGTTTCTGCAATATAGAAATGTATGAAAACAGAAATTTGCGAGACAAGCATATTCAAAGAAGTCCTAATTTAAGCGCGTACCGATATAAAGAGGGAAAGGGAAGATAGAGAGGGAGAGACGTAGAGTACTGATGTTCAAAGTACAAGCAGTATTCGAATCACACGCTCGGCGAGGATGAGTAACCGTATTTCCGCGGCGATGGAAAATTTTCATTCGAATTTCCCACATCGAACAGCCTCCAGTTATTGAAGATTAATACTGATGTATGGTCCGCCTAATTATGCCAATTAAAGAGATAATATTTTCGAAAAGCATCCAGATGAATTGTATTAATAATCACGAGAAGAAATTTGGCACAGTAACAAGGATAATTTCAACAGATATGTATCGAACCAGTTATTTCCTTTGGCGAACCAACACATAACATTCCTGAGATTGGATCTAAATTCGTTCGAAAAAAACTTTCAAGTAAGTATTTCATTGACTTTCACGATTTGACCTAAAGCAATGTTGGACTAAATATATTCGCAAATAACAAATAATTTCGAATGTATATATAACAATAACAATGATAATAATATATAAGTAATTATTATTATTGTTGTTATTATTATTATTATCAAATTTATTATATATATTACATATTCTTTAACACATTTAAAGCAAATACATATCGCAGACTACATTAACCGTTATTTGTGAATAAATTTTGATCCGAAGTATTATACTGTGATTAAAATATCAGAAAAAATTCGTATTTATTAGATATCATAGTGAGCGCTAACCGAATGGATCCGAGAAAAATCACGTGCCACTTCATTCATTTTTAAGGATCACCCGTAAAGAAGATGTAAAATCCGAAAAATACAGTTGGCTCTTTTAAGCCAATACCAACTGGTACATCGCAATTCATCCTAACAGGAAGGATATTTCACTCGCGATAATGCAATTTTAATTGCAAAGTGTAAGTAATATTTATATGTGTATTGCAATATTAAATTTTGCGTGCAAATAGCTACCTATGTATATATAAATTACTAGTAGCGTGTGTAAAGAAGACTCACTAATTTAATCGAAAGAAAAAAGCGAGGTCCAGTCCAACAAAGGATATACAAAGGATATAGTTCTTTAATAAAACAATAGCAAACTGATATAATGATATATAATAATAAATAACTAAAAATTTGAACTTTAGTTTAAAAAAAAAATGGAAATAACAGATTTAAATTTTGCTGTTTGTACGGCAACATTTAAATGTTGCTTCTTGTTTTCTTTTGATACATATATCAATATTTCAATTTTTAATTATCTCTTAGAAAGAGATGCGAGAAAGTTTTATATGGGTTCGTCTAACTTTGTTGCCATTTTTAGTAAGATTGTGCATTCAAAATATATCTGACCTCTTTTCTGTCGTTTCGATTAATTATTAGTCTTTTTTTACGAGCGCATTATTGCGAGTTAAAAGCTAAATTTCGATTTGCAGACATTACTTTTCGCGCGATGAAATTATTGTTTAAATAAAATTATACTTTTATTCGAACTTTTAAAAGATCATTTCTCATAAAAATAATTAATTGAATATAAGTAATGAAAATTTTCTCAGTCGAGCGTTTATATAATTTAAAAACTAATTTAAGTGTATATATAATTTAATTTATAATTAAGGCCGACAATAGTGAGATTAATTCGATACTAAAAATAAGTAAGTTTATCTTTCGTAAGCTACAAAGTGCAAGAACTAGTACATTATCGTAATCATTTATTGAGAGTAATGCCATATTTAAAATTATTAAATTCGACACAAGAAATTTATCGTTCTCTTTATACCGAGGTCAAACGATATCTTCAAAATAATAGGAAACTTTTTTTTATTTTGATTTATGTTTGATATCAAACGTAATTACTATAAATTCATTTATAGGAAACAATTTCTGATTCGTATTATAACCAACGGAGTTTCACATATCCCCATTATTTCTTTAGACGCTTTCTCTTTCTTATATTTAGTGTCATATCAACTTTCGATTTCATACACTTTTGTGGCCACGTGAACCTAATATTTTGCAGCGCCAAATATTTCATTATTTGCTTAATCAAATTCTCGATATTTATCATAAATCCATTTGATTAGGCGTTTCGACTCATATTCATAGATATACCGAAACACAAATTAAATAATATCTTCGATATATGTTTAATTAATATTTTCTTCAATTAGATCGACTTCAATCAATAAAAAAATTTTCTTCTATGAAATTGAAAATACTAAAGCTTCTGACAGCAGCGTGTTTTCCGGATACTAAAAAGTTACCAACCTTGATGTTCGAAGTTGATCCTAATAATTAACTCCTTCATATATAATACAAATAAGAAACATAATTTTTGTAAAAATAATTTCTGCGATATCATGCTACGAAATTATTACGTTTTATAACAGACAACTTTAGAATCCCTTAAAGCCGTTATCAGACTACCGATGCTGCATACCGATCCGACTGCCAACTCATAATGGACTAATAACAATGAGGCTAACTCATTGGGCGAATTCAAGTCGGCAAAGCGGTTAGGCATGCTCGCCGAGCAATTAAACATGATTGGTTGGATCCACGGGTAAGGACCAGTCATTCGCTCGGCAAGCATGCCTAGCCGCTTTACCGGCTTGAACTTGCCCATTGTGATTAGTCCATTATGGATCAATCCACTAAATTTTTTTCGTGTTATGACTGAATTTATGACATTCAGCTCCAGCTCGGTCAAGTTCTCTGTGAAGAAAAGCTCTAAAAAAATCTGAGCAAAGTGACCTAAAGTGCCTTCTAAACTTCTCCGGAGTTATGTCGAAGTACAAATTAAATTTAATTTCTAGTCGTATAATTTGTCACGTACAACAAAATATAGTAATAAAATCTGACCAAAACTCTCATTTCTAGTCTATAATCTAATCAAATCTTTAATGTTGATAGAAAACAAATTTCCAATTTTAATCAAACGTATATATTTCTAATTTCACATACTTCCAAAATGTAATCAAACATTAGAATGTAGTTAAAAATTTTAAACATTTATTGTCTAGTAGAGATACATGCCATTTACAACAATATCAATTGTTGCAAAATTTAATGGAATTCACTTTTTCAATTTAATCATAATTTATTATCAAAGATTCAAAATTATAAAATAATCATTTTTTTATTATAAAAAATATCTATTCAGTTCGTATTGACACAATATTAGTCGTTATTAATATTAACTTTAAAAGAAAATTAATTTCTAGTCAATAAAGCTAGTCGAGTTTCAAAAAGTTATCTTTGAAAAAATATCGATAAAGAGAGTGTAAATCTTTTTTTAAATTCCTTAAACATCTCGCGAATAATTTACTTTGAATTTTAGAATCGTAAGTTTTTAAATGATCTCTTATAAACCATACACATTCTTTTAGGTAAGATAGTATTAGTATTATCAAAAATTGATTAAAGTACATAAAAATTTAATTAGTCTTATAAATTATTTAATCGTAATTGTATTTCTAGTCGATTTATTCATTTATCCCAAGTCATTTCTACTCAGCCATCTAGTTTATTGATCTAATTAATTTTATATTCGATACAGAATATGCAGGCCACTAATAAATGCAATCTTCTTTTAAATTGTGCGACTACATCTCGCATGCATCTGACATTACAGTTATTGTCTTATCAGTATGTTTACGTTTATACATGTATATACAAATATATATATATATATTTGTATATACATGTATATATACAAATATATATATATATTTTTGTACGTTACAAAGTCCGTGGATGCGATGCCATACAAAACTTATACCAAAGAGTAGCCTAGTCAACAATAGAATTTATACCAAAGAATAATCTAGTCAACAATGGAACTTATAGCAAAAAATAATCTATATACAAAAATATATATATATTTTTGTACGTTACAAAGTCCGTGGATGCGATGCCATACAAAACTTATACCAAAGAGTAGCCTAGTCAACAATAGAATTTATACCAAAGAATAATCTAGTCAACAATGGAACTTATAGCAAAAAATAATCTAGTCAACAATGGAACTTATACCAAAGAATAATCTAGTCAATAATGAAACTTATACCAAAGAATAATCTAGTCAACAATGAAACTTATACCAAAAAATAATCTAGTCAACAATGAAACTTATACCAAAGAATAGTTTAGTCAGTTCAGACAATTTGATAATCTTCAATGCCTTTGGAAACATAAAGCTGTATAATTCTTGTATAGTATTACCTTAATTTAATTATATAATAACTTTGCATGTAAAGTAATCTAATCAATTTTAGGCATTATAATCAGATTTCGTAATTAATTGTAAAATACTCTTAATAAGAATCAGAATTTAAAATAAAATAACAGACATTATGTAGATTTAATTTAATGATAAATAATTTATAAACTGTAATATATTTTGGGAAATGTGCCAGTATCATGACTATTTAAAATTTATATTCCTCGAATTGCAGACATTTACATAATAATTAAGAAGAAAGAGAAAAGGCTTAACTATTTCAGTAAGACCACTTAAGCAAAAAATAAATAGAGAAGGACAACTGGACAAGTATGTGAATTTTATACAAAATATATGTATAAAGTATCTGTGCATTATTTAATTTTCTTATTAATTTACACGCAAAGCAAGATGTCCTCTATGGCAGCTATCTATGTAGGAAAGAGCTATCGTTAAAGAGCGTATAAAAATGAGTCATTCTATATCTCCATTCTTTAATTATACCTTTTCTCTTCAAAAATTATGTCCCTTTCTCTTAAACAATATGAACCAAATAAATATTTTATAAAACTCATTATAGTACAAAAAACAAAAATATACATATGCAAATACTAGTATATATATATGTAACTATAACTAATTAGTTAGAAATATAGCAGTGCAATTATTTCAACAAACTTGCAAATTCAGACATATTATTTTTTTCTTCATAAAAATCAATTTTTGTATATTTATAAAAATGTACCTATATAATCATCTTTTTTATTTATAAATCATTCCTTGGGTAGTATATAAATGAATAATAAATGTAGATTATTTATAGCAATGATGATAACAATATGGGACTGTTAACCATAATTATATGATTATATGTCCAATCATTTATATTGACTTTATCTAACAACAGGTTTGCTGAATTAAAAAATATCCTATGTGTGAATCGAATGCTTTAAAAAGTATCTGTATCGTAATGTATTTTAGTCTATTTGTCAAAGAAGACTTCCAGTCTATTCTAATTTAGTTGCTAAAAAGAAGATATTAAAAAGAAAAGTACCAAAGATCAAAAGAAGATGTAGAATGATATCAAAAGAAACTCGGGATAGGATTACTTTAGGGTAAGATAAGATAGGATTATTTTTCGAATGTTAAGTTCCTGCTTTTTATCTAAGTTTGCGGATTTGTCCAATACAATTTACCATTCTTTTCAAAGTATTATTCGGCTGTGCTTATTTTAATGTTTATTCATAAATACATTAATATTTCTTTTTTGGAACCTATTTTTAATCAAAAAGTACAAAATTGTACACTCTTTATGATTTCACGTGCAGACAACATCAAAAGTAATTTTAATTTTAACCGTGCCTTCCACGAATATCGTAATACTTTAATTTAATCAAATTTATTTTAATTTTCGTATTTATAGATTTTAGCATTTATGGATTTCATTTCTATTGCATAGTATGTAGACTTAAATAAACGTCGCAATCAATTTTGTGGAAGATATAGTATAAGTTTTGCACACGCGAATCACATCAATCACATGTAAAAATTAAAATTAATCTCACTAGTCTCGGCA